GGAAAAGCTGACTGCATTGTTGAGCTATTCAAGGTTGCAATTCATAGCTTGAGAAGCATCATGGGGAATAGTAGAGCAGTATTAGGAGTATTAGGTGTATTAGTCCACACTCTTAAAACAAACAAACAAACAAAACAACAACAACAACAACAACAAACAAGAAAAAAAAAAAACCAACCCAAACCCACACAAATATCTAAAAGCATATCCAAATCTGGAAGAAGCATATGGAAAAAGCCTAAATGGTATTTATCACCACAATTGAAAAACAATCCACTTCAATGCTCTGAACAGGATTATTAGGTTGCAGAAGTTAAATAAAAGAAAATCTACTTTTCTCTTCATTCTCTTTCCTTCAACTTAGTTTAGCTGCTGAGTGATCTGGAGTTAATTAACATGCTCTAGATTCAACTAGAGAGGGCAGAAGAAAACTAGAAGACAGGAAAAAATGGGGAAGTAGAGTAGAAAAAAACGAATTCCAGAAAGAAGAGATGGCACTAAAACCAGTACCTGGGAAACCCATTAAGACCTCAGGAGTGTCATTATTGGTTATGTGAGCACACTGCCTGCAGACTTAGTTGGACCATTCCCATGAGTGAAAGACATACGTACAAGCATGCCAGGTAAGTATTAATGCCATGGATAAGTGCCTATAATCTGTCTTTATGATGAACATTTTCCAATCTGCATTTCCATTCCAGTTCTGTTAGCATTTAATAATTAGATAATAATAAGACAACATAAACATGTACCCTGTTAATAGAACAACTATGCACATTACAATGTTTTAAAACGAAAACTACTAATAAAAGCCTATCTTATGCTTTCACCTACTTAAGCTTACTGAACATTTGAAGCCATTTTTTAAATATAAATTAAAATGACTGCATGTTATGAAAGTGAATGCTGATAGAAGGTAGAAAATATAACTGAAGTGTTTTGCTTATATTAGTGCATTGAGATGGAATATGACACAAGATAGTACTTTAGAATTTTTCTTACTGTGGAGATGTTGAATAGACATTTTGCACCAAAGAAGGGAGCAGAAAAGCACAGAAAACTCTCAGGTTCCTATTAGAAAAACTCACTGAATAAATTTAAAAAAATTGCATTTCCAATTGCAGTTGCTAATGCAGATCCCCAAGACCTCTACCATAAGTAAAATAAATGCCTCTTGGTTTCCACCCCTCACTGTCATGGGAGAACCTCTCTTCAAAATGCCACCATTGCTTCAATTTTACTTTGTGAACTAAATTTGCCTGCAAGTTATTTGACATCAGTTCTTGTCCAAAAAGTGGAAATGTTCCTCCAGGGGGCTAGTCTGTGACAAGCCTCCTCCTTACTTCCAAGTCTAGAGAAAGAACATGAACTCTATAGGCAGAGATCAGGGTGTACTTTCTCATCGTCAGCCACTCTTCCAGGCAGCAGCTCCTACCCCAGCAACGTGGTGAGCCTGAACAATTTTACTGGTGCCACTGTGAGACACACCAAGACTTTGAGGGATGAATTCTTCTGTTACATACATTTTGACATCCTGAAAGATTTTAATATGTTTACCAGACACCAGCTGTGAGACAACCTGTCTTGCTGGCAGCCACAAGTACTGGGCTGCCTTACATTTTCCTTTTCTTCAACGTCCAGGTAAGCTTTATTTTGAGAATTTTAACAGCACCAATCATATATCAACACCAGATAAATGTGGCAATGAGAGCACAGAGCTGCTAAAAACAAAGAACATCCAAAGAAAAACGTTTTGCACAGTCTTTAATTTAAAAACAAAACAAAACAAAACAACAACAAAAAGACTACAAACTCAAACTCACCCATACATCACAATCTCCCTCCCCCAAACCCTGTAGCTGCTGAGGACTTGTTCCCTAACCGATCCCTTCCATATTTCTAAGAACCTTCAGCACTATCTTTAGACGTGGCTATTTTGCTAGTCTCTAGAAATTTGTAGCTGTTTGCAGAGATGCAAATGTATTATCATAGCCTTTTTAGTTTGAAAAGATTTTCTGTTTGGAATGATTTTACTCAGAAATACTAAAGAGGAAGACAAGCCAGACCAACACTGTGTGCTTTTCTGTGCAATAGCAATAGCAGAACACATGCTAATTCTGCTGCAACTAGGTACTCCCCTTATCTGGTGTCTGCACTTCATGCTTAACTAGGAGACACTAAAGCAGCTTAAAAACTCTCTGCCTTATCTCAAGGAGTTTGCAGATCACCTGGCATCACATGAAAAGCAGCTGCTTCTGAGTTGCAGATGGACAGCCAAAATTGTAGGCAGTAACCTGCTAAATGATAGACCATGGAGTATAAATAGAAATCTATCCTTGCCTCCACCAAATTTTTCACTGAAGACTGGACTACATTCAAAATAAGTATGCAACAAAAACTATGTAGAAAATAAAAAAAAACAAAGATCACAAGGATAATGCAAGAAATTCTAGCCTCAGTTGTGGTTGATTCAATCACTCAATCTAAAATAAAGGGCTATAAAAAGTAAGAGAAGAATTAGCTTTCCAGATACGCAATGCGGGCATACTAACCATAAAGCATAAAGAGATCTCGTCTTGCACCAAGTTGGCTTATCGACTTCAGAATGAGAAATATCAGTTTAAAAGTGATCTGTATTTGCTCTTTTCAGCATGACTGGTCTCTTCACAGCACTTATTTTTAGTTTATGAAAAATCTCTCTTCAAAGACACTGCTGAACTGGTTATAGAAAAACACTGAGGCTTTAGAAAACATTTCAGCTGCAAGTAGGAGAGACTCTTTCAAAGCAGGCTAGATACTGTCTGCTACTCAGATTAAAACCCTGATGGAAAGATTCAAGATGCCTTTTTTTCCAGTCCCGTTACTTCTCTATTTATTTCAGAAGCATCTATCTCACAGTCTTGCCATGCTTCAAATTAAACACGTCTCTCAATGTATTCAGAAAAACATACACAGCTTTTCTTGTTGCTCATTAATAATGACAGCACGTATTCAAGTACTGCTTTAGAGACATAGTTCTGTGAAGTATGAAAATTAAATGAAATTAAAAAAAACCACACTGTATTATTTGATATGAAACTACTTGCTCTAATGCAGAAACATATACTCTTGACAGAATCATGAACACCAGAAAGAGTTTTGGAGAATTACAATAACCTTTGTAAAAACCATGACTTAACTAGTAAAAACCTGTTATACACCCATGAAATACTTCAAAGAAAAATTAAAATCAATGCCTCTATTATTTTTGTATGACAATTCAGATCTTCTGCCAATCCTGTTCATTCAGGAATATGACACATTTCCCTTTGTTAAAATGTTTCAAGGGTTCCCCACCAACTGAATGCAGTTAAAATACAGAAAGCAAAATAATCACCCACAGCATCACAAAAAGCTGTGTGTGATTTTATTTTGAAATATTTAATAAAATACTGAAGTTTAAGTTCAAAACAATATTAATATCTAGCTCATTCTCCATCTCCCACAGCCATATACAGTCTTTTTCCTTCGTGATACCTTTATGCCGTCAATACGCAGCTGATTTTATGGTAAACAGTGAAGTTAAGGTGCTGCATGATTACATTAGGCAACTGAAGATGAGTTCACATCAACAGCAACTTAAATACAGTGCTAATTTAGTCACGATTCAATTATGTTCAATGTATAAGCTTTTTATGCATCCATCTCACCCTTCCTCCCTCCCATCCACTTTTTTTTTTCCTCAGTTACTGCCGCTGTCATTAATTAGTAGAAATTTCATAAAGTTGAAGATATTTAGATCTTTCTTCTTCCACTCTAGGAAAAAAATATATTTATTTCTCACTGAACAAATTAACCTGCAGAACCTGATATGGCCCCGAGACCACCTGTATCCCCAGAAGGAGACGGCTACAAGTTGTTCTGCAGAACAAGGCATGTGCATCACGTTTTCTGGATATCAGACACTTCCAAGACAAAGGTCTTTATCCATATTTGTGCACATCTCATTCCCCTGCATGTAAACAGGAAAAAGGTTCTGTGTTACATTGCTTTGGTTCACGGTTTCCCACTTAGATGTTTTCTTTTTGTCCTAATAGATAGCAGACAGCAAAGATTGATTTAGCTGAAATACTTGCTTCAGCTAATTTACAGAGTTCGACAAGGATGTCTCAATCTTGATGAGACCGGAGATGCGTATCAGACAGATAAAGCTGCATTTATAAGCAGGGATGACAACAGACTGCCATTTAGCAAGTAAGAGAATGGCAGGATTCACAACCCAAGCCAATTAAGCACCATCACTTCCTTCCATCTGGCAGAGAGACTGCAAAAACACTTAATTAAGCAATTTGATCTCTCTGCCATAACTAAAACAATTCAAACTTTCAGAATTTTCAGCTTTTGCATTTTCAGCCTGTACAATGCAGCCACTTTAACAAACACAGGGCACGGCGTGTCAGTTCAGTGTTACACCAGCGTTGGTGTAATAGCTGAACTTGAAGGCTGAAATACAGAGAAAGAGTCCAGCAAATTCTGGACTGCATGATTTCATGGAGATAAATGCATTTATAATGAACTAGAACTGTAAATTATCTGAAATATGACCTAACCTTTTACTTAGTTGTAGGTCTGTAGGTTGACATATGTCACCAATGTACATAGTTGTAGTTCTCCCTCTCTCCCTCTCTAGTTTAAAGTTGGAGAAAATTCCAGTAACAATGCAAATTGTTATCCAAAACAGAAAAGGAAATGTTCATGGGAAAAAAAATCACAAAATATTCATGCAAATATAGACAAATTAGTGCAAACAGTATCTAGGGTTTTTCTTGTTTTGCTTTTGTTGTTGCTGTTGTTGACGTGTTTGCTTTAAAATTTTTAAATAATCCTAGATAAAAAAGAACACTGTTTCACACAGAATATACTTGCTTTTCCACACAAAAAGTAGAAAAAAAAAGTTACCAATGCGGAACATATTAAACGATAACGTTCTGACTGAAAGAATTTACTAAATATGAGCTTACCTTTACTTGGAGCTGATTTTCTCACAGAAGCTACATGGTCTTCAGAGATAGCAAGGCGCCTTAGCACATCAGCCAATGCTGCTTTTAGGACAGTGATTTCATCTTCTTGTTGTTGTACTCTCAGCTCTAAGGCTGAAAGTCGGTCTTGGACATCAGATGTGCTTGCAGCTGAGATGCTGTCATCTGTATGGAGTTGAAACAGTAGAAAGAGAGATTTAATTGTTTTGTTCTAAACCAAAAGCCATGGAAAGACATGTACAGCATGAATAAGTCTGTCCCATCCTTTTGAAGTACTCAAGATGTTCAAACAAATACGGTCAGGCAAAGGAGGAGGAGATATTATATTAAAAAAAATGAAATGATTCAAGATAGAAGTATTTCCAGTCATCAGCTAAGAAGGCTTAAATAGCATGGCTCCACTATAAGCAGAAGAGGGAATCACTTTCTGTTAGATGTGTAGAAGGAAAGATATGCTTTTATCAGTTTAATAAAGCCTGAAATTAAGTTTATTTACAAAGCCAGCTAAACTATGGTCAAATTTTGCAATGCATTCTTTTGGTACCGTTGAAGAATTTTAAAGGATGTAAAAATTTAAAATGATATAAAGTTTTTAAAAAATATACAGTTGGAACATTTTTGTGTGTGTGGTTTTTTTTTTTTTTGGGGGGGGGGGGGGTGTTTTGTTTTTGTTTTTTTAAACATCAGCACCTTGCACAGGCTCAGAAAAAAAAAAAAAAAAAAAAAAAAAAAAAAAAAAAAAAAAAGCCAACATTATTATAACATTTGGCCTGAAGTGAAAAGAAAGTAAATACACTAAAAAAAGGTTCCAAAAATCTGTTTGGCCACACAGAGATAGATTAGCATTGAAGGCATACTCCAGCCAAATCTATTCTTCAGTGGTAAAAAGGAAATTACAGCTTCTGCATATTCTTTGCTTTTGACAGTTCTTTGCATTATTTCTGCCAAGCCAAAATAACACATAACAGATTTTCATATTTGGCTGTTCCAATAAGTCACAGTCTAACCACTAAAAAAGATCCATAAAAGAATACGTTGCTCAATCACAAGGTACTGAATTCCTTATTCATCCTGCTTTCATCTTATTAAAACTCAGGAAGGAATGGTTTACAAAATGTAACCTTTATTCTACAACAGACAGTATGAAATATTTAATGAAATAATTCCAAACAGAAAATTCACACGTTAGGGAAAGGCACTGGATTTTACTACTGTGTTTATATACAACCTAAACTTTATCTCACTAATCTGATAAATAACAAGGAAAAAAGTTGATATAAGGACAACTAAAAATTTGTCACTATACAGCTTAACCTTTGAAGAACTTGTATAAGTGAAACTGCTCCAATTAATTAAACTTGAAAGAGATTTGAGTGCCAACTTCCATGCTTTTAAAATACAAAGCCTACACATATGATAGCCATTACTGAAGGAGTAAGAATTTAATCGACTGAAAAGAAAAATCATGATACTTTTACGAAGTGAAAAAATTCCTGCAAGGAATTAGCAAAACAAAGTAATAACAGTAGTGAAATGTTAATTTTTATTAAACTGAAAGGAATAGTTAAGACCACACTGATAGGACAACTCCCAAAAGAAAACAGTTTTACATAATGAGTCAATACACTATTTTGTCAAAGCAAGAACAGAAATCTATCACTTTGTGGTTAATACTAGTGCTAATAATAACACATACTAATAAATAAGAACTGTAGAGGAATTCATAAGATATGCAATCAGACTGAGTCCCAGAGACAACGGATCAGAAGAACTCTGAACAAAATGCCTTCAGTATCACCAGCCACAATAATAAATCATCTACACAAGAAAGGTCATTTTTTAAAGAGTTATTTTAATAATTCCATAACTCAGCTTGTTCTCTGATCTCTCATTGGTTTTTAGAAATCCACACCATGACTGCTACTCCAGTTAGAAAGAGCTCTATAGGATTCATCTATTGAAAACTCAGTTTTCAAAGAACAAAAACCAATCTGCTTTAAGGAGCTACAGGATATTCCTACAAGCACACACATATGTATCTACATAGCACATAAAAAAGAACTAAAGTCAATTTACATCAATTAAGTCATGAAGAGTTTTGGCTTTAACGAAGTGGATTGAAAGAAGAACCACATAATTCATACTGCTGCTGTAATCACAATATTAGCCTTTAAAGCAATGCACAGGACCAGACAAAATGAACACTGTACTAAACAATGGCAATTATTTTGAAAGTAATTATCACAATCTTCGCATCTCATTATACCAGAAGTCTAAGCAAACACAAAAGTGTGACGTTTCTTCTATCTTTTATTTTTCACTTGCTTCTTATTTTCACTTGTCTGTTAAAGTCTTCAATTAATCAAACATTAACAAGTCTGATAGTGGTTAAATGTCCGGGTACTTCAAACATGCAGCACATTACTATAAAAGATTTGTAAAAGCTAAGTAGTTCTCTCTTAGCTATGTCAAACCATCATTTTAGAAGCCAGACGTAGCTCTGTTCTTTGTGTGAAGTCCAAAAAACAGTAATTACCAAGCTAGGAAATGCTCCAATGTCGGTCTCTCTTTGATGAGCACAGCCAGAAGTGCACTACAAGGGCTTTTTTTTAACTATTTTTTTTTTAACCTGCGTTGTCTACCAGTATTGACAAGACTGCCTGTGCCAAGCTCTAGCACCTCAGAAAAGAGGCCCATTAGATTGCTCCTGCCAGCCTCAAAGTCACAGTTTTGTCTCTCATTACAAATCTCCAAGAGCCAGTAGAGAGCCAAGACCTTCTGCATGTAAGAGGAAGCTGCAATTTTGCGATCTCCTCAATATAAACTAAGATGGTGAAGAAGTTGACCAATGTTGGTCTCTGCTTGTGCTATGGAGGTTCAGTCCCTAAACAAAGCCCAGTGAGCTGATGCGGAAGCACTCTCAACCCCAACAACCTGTCAGAGATGGCAGGTGTAGAAATGGGACATAAAAAGGAAACCAAGAAGATTAAGACATTTAGCTGACTCAGAAATAGGCAAAGCAATGGGCTGTGTGCTTAATGGGAGAAAACAACCAGCAGCTGCTTTGCACTGCAAGGGCAGCACATGAAACACAATGACTGAAAGAAGTTTGACATCAAGATCACCTGGAAATCAAAAATATTTTGTTTGACCAAGAAGCACAGTCACACACTGGGAAGATGTTTTGGTATTCTCTATCACTCTACAGAAGCAGAGTATGTTCTAAGTGATGACAATTAAACATCATGTAGGAGAACTGAAAACGAATGATTCCCAGTCCAAACACCTCACCCATGAAAGCAAATACTTAACTGAACTCCAACATGCCCTTCTTGACAGTGCCTTGAAAGTAAATCAGCTAGGAATTAGTTTAAAAGAAGATGCCTTGAAAGTAAATACCACTGCAATCTTTGAGATTAGTTTAACGAATCCACGAGGTATGTTTTCAAAATACCTGGCTCTGGGGGATTTCTTGCTTTAAAAACAAATACTTTTAAACCAGAGAACTTCAGAAGAAATTTAAACAAAAAATTTCCTTCAAGGGCATGCCATTCCCCTTGCAGAAGGAAAAGGTTTATTAATGCAAGTTCAAAGTCAGTCACAAGCAAAACTTAAATTTATCGTTCCTTTCTCTTCTCCCACTCCTAAACATCTGGCCTTTCCCTCGTGCCACATGGGGCATCCAGGCCTTCCATGAGACTCTCAGCTTAATAAACCAGAGGGAGCTTCTTTTATTTAAAAAGAGAAATGAGGTCAGAAATTCAAGCCAGAGACTTCAGTGAAATTGACTATTTATTTTAATTAATTAACTTCATTTTCAATGGGGCTTTCATCTGGTTATTTTTTGTTATAACAAAATGGTACAATTTCTGATGTTCTGGTCATTTTTCCCAAGATGCCCATAGCCTCTACTCTCAAGAGGGACTTTGCAACAAGATCCATTGTGAAGAAAGCATCATCTGCATTGCTGGCTGGTGAAAGGAAGGAATCTCCATGTAAATGGGGGCCTGAGGTTTTTCCGCCTTGAAAAGCAGTGTAAGATAAGAACATTAAAATGCAAAAAAGGCAAATATATGCTAGGTCTAAACATACGGCACATTGTAACTTCCAAAATGAGAAGATTTGCTATTTTATCATACTTCACCAGTTTGATTTTTAATTTTAGCCATTAAAATATTCTCTCTCCTCCCACTTTTGAACTAAGCAGGGACGTGCTTAGTTGGTTTTTCATAGCCAACAAATGGCACTTAAACAGACGCATTATGCTCCGTGTAACTTCTCACAGTCATGAATCAAACCATTCCGAGCAGTCTGAACAAACCTGCAGCTCAAAAGTTCCCTTAGGCTTTGTCAAGGAACTCTGCCAGTGGGATCCAATACATAGTGGAGGTACTAAGAACTCCCAACACACCTTTCACTCTCCTTCTCACATATCACTGAGCAGGTACGTGAGGATAACAGCATTTGAAAGATATCACCCTTAATCTGTCAGAGAAAACTGAGCACTCTACATTTAAAACATTTGTATTTATATATATACATATATATATCTTACAACTGAACTGGGGCCCCTAAACAATTCCAGAGTATCCATTATCCCTTCTCGGAGCCAACTCCTGCCAGCTCTCACTAAATGTAAGTAAGGACTTGCTTTTAGACACAAGCAACATTTCAGAAAAACAAATTCTACAAGCTCCAGCACTTGGAAATTTAAACCACAGGATGGAAAATCCTACATTTTGTCCAATAAAACCACACAAACCACAGATATTTTTAAAACACTGTCTGCCAAGGCACCCACACAGTTTTCTGTTTTCCCCAGAGCACTAAGAGTCTTTTATTACAGAAATGCAACAGAAATTACTTGAACTGGTATAAAGATCTGGCTTACGATTTCAGAAGACAACTGACCCAAAAGAATCCCTGCTCACTAGAACTATGATGTACCCATGTGCACAGGAAGGCACGTATTTGCACAGCCTGAAACTTTTGTTCTGAAGACCACTGAATAATTTGACTCTGGCTGAGGGTTTTAGTTCCAGAGAGATAACAGACAAATTTTTCCTACCAAGTTATGTGAAGGAAAAATTCTCTGTAGTTTTCTGTTGCTTACGTATCTTTGGACTAGTTTATCAAAGGTGCAAAGATTCTGTTTTGCACTCATA